TGGGTAGAGCATGCAGCCAGCTGGATACGCCAACTTTTCTCGATCCAAAAGGACACGCTCGTTTCTAATCCCCTAACTAAGAGCCAGTGCAGGAATCCTGCCCAGGCAACTCCTCCGTGTGCTTTCCTGACACAGTGTCTTGGTGCCGTAGGTATGACCCTCCCCATGCAGAAGGGCGTGCTGGATGCGTTCAAAACCAACCACAGCAGGCTGCTAATTGCTACATCTGTCGCTGACGAAGGCATTGACATTTCTGAGTGCAACCTCGTTGTGCTCTATGAATACTTCGGCAACGTCACCAAAATGATCCAAGTCAGAGGTATGGAATTTCAGAGCTATTACTTTAGAAACCCGTTTGGGGCTAGAAACCGACACCATGTGCATGCCTTGCTGTTGTTCCTCCGTGCCCGAGTGAGGTCCGATGGGCGGTGGCACCAGACTTGACCAACTTGTCGACCGAGTCCTCGACGCTGCGTGACCTCTCCCTGGGCGCGCACATCTCCCACGCCGCACAAGGGCATCGCCCCGCTGAGGACCGACCCCTCAAGTGGGTAATCACACATATGAGCAGCAGTGTGGCTGGAAGAGCTGTACCCGGCAGTCAGGCAGGCCCTTGTGACTGTGACGGTTTGCAAAGCTGCGATGGAGCCTCACGTGTTGCCGTGGCTCCTGCAGACCTGCCCCTGCCCAGCTGCCAGCCCAGCTACCCCGGCACCCGAGCCCTTCGCCTGCGCAGACCTGCAGCACTCAGGACCAAAACCCAAGTCTTGGCTTGGCTAAAGAAGTCCGTCAGGACGTGGGTCTTGAATCTTGGGGCTTTTGCAACAGGCGCAGTAGAGGGGAAGGAAGAGCCACATCACGAACCGGCTGCTGTTTCACACTCCCCAAGGTCATAAAACCGCCTGTGCCGCTCAGGGGTGCATCCGCAGTGTTTTATCGTATCGCCCGATGGTTAACTTCCTACTTGGATGGGAAATGATCTCCCTTCCACTTAATCCTCCACCTGCAGGGTTTGTGTCTCCTGATTTTTTTTTTAATTCTTGTCTTACAATGAAATAAGCGTTCCAGAATTCACGTTTACAGGTGACTGTGCTTGTTAACAACAGGCAAAGAAAACAGGTTGTGTCCGTTTTCAATCACATAAATCTGGGGGAATGGGAC